TATTGTGACCGACTTTTTCTTTTTTTTTCTATGGGATACTGTACCCCCACGGCGACAACGTAGGTCTTAGTGTACAAATAGGCTTCCTGACTGAGCATCTGGTCTTATGGCCAAGTTCTTCTTAGTAGATGTTGTTGGATTCTTGACGGCTTCATCATTAATCAAGTTCTTAACTGCTAAGTTCTTACTGCACGTGGTGGGGGCGTTCTGTATTTTTTTTTTCTCGATGACGTTTGTCGTGGAGTGGTCGCTGATAGTAGCTCACGCCGTTGCTGGCCACAAGGACATACATCAGCTTTTGCTGTTACAACGTATTAAAACAACCACAGTGGAGTATATACCAGGTATCAGCTTCTGCTATCATAACGTCAATAGACATGGCAAGAAAATACCACCAGTGATAGGAAGGAAGCAAGCCGCACCTTGCGATGCGCTCCTTCTCCATGTTGAGGGACTCCTTCAGGAGGTGAACCATCCCGTCCTTCTTGTGCGAGGCGCAGTACATAGCCCGCCCTTTGGAGAGGCCATAGTGAGGCCTTGTCGTGCACCTGTGATGCCGCCGGCATGACGTCGTGCGTGAAACCAGAGGGTTGGTTTGTTGATTTGATTCAGAGAGGCGTAGCGGGGTGATGGGAGGAGATGAAGGAAGGTGTGGAAGGGGCAAGACCACACGGCGCTTTAAAACAATTGGATCGTCATGTGTCAAATGAGAGGTCTGGTTGATTCAGAGAGACCAGCCATCCTGTTATACTTCTATACCCCAACACACCTTTGGCAAGTACCCCGCAAAGGAAAATATAGAAACTTCTTGGGCCAACTTTTTTTCAAAGTAGGAAGGTGCCTTTGGTTATCGGTGATCGATCGGTCCTGTGGGAACAATGCTCCGTCCTCTCGAGGACGCGTGGTCAATCGTCCAATAACAGAATATGAGTACGCCCCCCCCCCCCTCCCCAAGAAAATGGTGATACCAAGGTTGCACGAGCTATCACACCCCCCGGACCGATTTTCAACACTCGATTACTCCACGGTTGCAACGCCGCAATGTTCAACATCGTCACTACTTTTCGTGCCGAGATATGGAGCTTCAAAAATCGGTCCAGGGTGTGTGATATCTAACGCAACCTACGGTCAATTTTGTTTCAAGAAACTCCACCAGAAAGTTTTCCTTTCTTACCCTGGAAATAGGCACGGACGGTTCTTCAGCCCCACCATACCCTTCGACTTGTGCTCACGGCAGAACCTTGGCCGGCTCGTACCTGGCGTTCAGCAAGCGGACGATGCTTTCGGTTACGACAAGGGATTAGAGAAGAGTTTTGTTTCCTGGCCAGAATAACGCGTGATTATTTACCAGGTTGGGCATCGCGAAAGTGGCCATGGCGAGCGTTTCGAGACTGAATTCTCTTCGCAAGAACGACAGCTATGTGTACGCTGTGCATTTCTAGCCAAGGTACCCCTCCCCCCCTAGTTGTGTCCCACACTATCAATCAATCATTCAATCAATCAATCAATCCCTTGCAGTCCAGCGAAGGTACCCCCCCCCCACCCCTGGTTGCATCATACACCTCCCGTTTCACGCCTTCGCCTTTTCTGCCGGCGATAAATACGCTTGGTGGGTCATATCTACGCACTCCACTTGTCCGGTCGGAACAAGACTGCTATCTCGTGGAAGCTGTTCACATTAGGCCGCCAAGGTTAGCCGTACAGTCGTGACTCCGATACAAGATTAGGGTTAGCCGTAATGTAAGGTTAACCGTACGGTAAGAGGTCCGATATCGGAGTCACGACTGTATTAGTCCGATACAAGGTTCACGATACCTTACAGTATTAGTCCGATACAAGGTTCACGATACCTTACAGTATTAGTCCGATACACGGTTCACGATACCTTACAGTATTAGTCCGATACAAGGTTAGCCGTACAGGGTGGTGTGACAAAGGTTACCGACCCTCTCTCATATCGGAGCCCCCTCTATCACCGGAACAAGAGGGTACCCAACAATACCTCGTCGGTTCGACTCGGTGTCAACCGATTTCGACCCTATTACATCGTAGCACCCTCCTACAAGGCACCCTCCTTCTCATGTCGGAGCCACGACCGTCGCTAGAAACACACTGCAACCGTAGCTAGAAACACACACCCAGCTCGCTGACGAGTGCGGGAACTTGCCTGATAGTCCGTAGCTGGGCTGCACCAGGCACCCCTCCACCTCGCACAGCTTGCGGTACATGGCTGCCCGATTTAGGTTAGGAAACAACGGGTGCGAATGAACGGCGGGTTACATCGCACGGCAAGGAGAGAGATAGAGCGGGAGAGCGGGGTGACAAAGAGAGACATGATGGGAGACAAGGCGGGGGTTTACTACGGGAGAGCGACAGGGTGCGAGGGTAGAGAGAGAGGGTTGGGGGTAGCACTTTGCCATGTTTTGCATGGCTCAGTTGTTTTTGTTAGACATTGGGGAGTACCAGCGATGAACGCGTTGTAGGAATGCCCTCGACGACATGGTTCCGACGTCGGCGCCGCCATCGCAGGAAAAACCGCGTAAATTTACTTGCAAAATACACATCGGTCCATAAAAGCAAGGTGTTGATTCTTATGCAACCTACGCTACCTATGTCTCACTTTGCACCCGGAGGTCAGGCCGGGGGCCCGCGGAGGGGTCTGCCGCCCCCTCGGGCTTGGGGGCACGCTTGGCGACCTTTTTCGATGGGATGGCCTTAGGCCCTACAGCACGGGGCGCCGCGGCCTTCCTGATCGCTGTAACACCCGATTTCGAAGAGCCGGCGGCGGTGCGAGGTTGTTTTTAGTGGAAATGGTGGTGGTAGTGCTGTAGTGTCCCAAGACATGACGAACTAGCTCGTCAAAATGTGTGTAGTGTCCAACACAGGACATGTCTCGCGAAAAAAAACGAGCAATCGACGCAGGCGCGATGGTTGTCGGGCTTTGGAGAGCAGCAGGGCGCCAGAGGGCTTCAAAGAAAAGAACGACGCTTGACGTCCATAGCACCTAGGCAGCGAGAGCTCCCGCATCCTCCCTTTCCACATAGATCCACTCTTCTGGTTCGATTTGAAAAACCGAAGACCCTTCACTTCCTCTACCTATTTTTATCTGCATCAGAAAGCCTGCAAAGAGAGGAAACCCGTTCTCCCTTTACACCATCGCTGCCGCTACCCCTAAGCACCAGGGCCCTACCACAGGGGCAGATAGAGGAGGATCTTGCGATTCACGGCACATCTCCTTCAACTTCCGAACCTCCCCTGCTTCATCCTCTCGAGGACGCGTGGACAATGGGATTCGAGGTCAATGCTCAAACGACTACGGCATGCTTCACGAACGTCCGCCCTTTGCAATATTGCCCCCCCCCCCCCCTCCGCCAACCCTCACCGCTGCCATCGCGAGTAGCCATGAGGAGCTTGCCATCACGAGAGGTGTACATGCCGGCCTTCTTGTGTATCTGGCAGAGGGTCTCGGGACCATCCTTGTGGCCGTACCGGGGAGGGTTCTCGCAGCCGGGGTACTGCGAAAGATAGAGGTGGTGGGCATCGACCGTCGTTGTTTTCGCGTTATGGGGTGCTCCGCCCTTGTCGTCGGCATACTTACATGCAAAGGTCGCTCGCTCTGACCTCTATTCCTAGCGTGCCCGTGTTCCGATGTACATGGTACATGTAGCCCGACTATGTAGCAATAGACTGTTAAATCCCGAGATATGACGACGACGACATGTGCAACGCTCAATAAGGGGTGGGGGGGTGGGGGTGGGGGGGTAGGGGGAGGAGGGCACCGGAAAGGTCTTGCTGACCGCGAAAAACTGATCAAACGAAAAAAACTGTCCGCAATCATGCGATCTACGTGGCGAGGTTTTCGGCGAAATCAATGTTGACTCGTTTCTAACAAGATGTGTGCTAACATTGCAGGAACCTTTCAGATTGAACACCTAGATTCTGCACACCTCTTATGTTCTCTCTCAAACTTGCAGGAACCTTTTGGGCCCAACGTCTAGACTCTGCACACCTCGCATGCTTGTGCCCTCCCAACACCGGACGGACCACCCTCCTCCCCCACTACCACCGGCCTCCTTTCGACCTGCTGCTGCTGCTGCTGCTGCTGCTCGGAAGGCTCCGGGTCGCTCTTCGAAACCGGGATAACCTCGGCGGCTGCCGCGGAAGGTTCTCGCTGGCCCTCCGGCTGCGGTGCACGCGCCGGCGCCCCGCTAGCTCTAGCGTTGTACTTGTGTTCGTACATCGGGCGTGCTATGTCTTCGGGGCAAAGACTGGATCTGGAACGAAAAACAAAACAAACAGGACACAGTTTTTCGGCTGCACTCCGGATATTAAAAGGTACTGAGTAGCGACGGGAACGATTTTTCGTTTAATGTGAAGACAAACGACAACTTCCTTTCCAAATATGCTCATCATGCTTGGATTAGGTGTGTCGGTGCTTCTGTTGTCTACTGTTTCGAAGGGTTTCCACATAGAATGTGGAGAAGACGACCTCGGGGTGGTTTTGGGATGCCAGAGTCACACAGTTGGTATTGAAAACACCAGGGTCAGACCCACCGATGTCCGTCTTTTACTATTGGGCAGCCTCCCATGGATTAACTTCCCTCGAGATCAATCGTAAACGATCCTGTGCCACCCCGACTGGTGCGTCAAATGTTTACTTGTACCCAAATGGTCTAGACTGACACCCCGCGCCAATGGAACGGAAAACGCACACACAACCAAAACGGCTGCTTCGAGACCATGGTATGCGGTAGGTAAACATTATCTGACGTGACTTGATGGTGTTGATGACCACGGTAGATAATCATGGCACAAAGCTTGCGCAGAAACCTTGGTAGAAGTAAGGTTTTACCATGGTACATGTAGAATACCACGGTAGAACAAAGTTTTGCGGTTTACCGGTGCGTCCCGTAGATCCGGTCGTTGTGGGCGACTCGCTGCATCCCATCCTGCAGGTGTCTCTGGCAGAGGGCCCCGGGCGACCGGTCATCAATCCTAAGGGCTGGCTCTTCGCAGCCCTCCGCCTGGCAGAGGCGCGCCGCTGGTTGGGATCCTGCACCACAAAAGCGATGCGTACATCAACACGACAGACCGGGCCGGTATAGAAAGGTAAGGGGTTACAGTACTCTTTGTGTCTTGCATGCCTTAGCGGTTAGATCATTGACCACGCGCCCCCAATAGGACGGAAGCGGGGGGAGGGTACTCACGTTCTGCATGTCTTAGCGGCTGGACCACGCGTCCTCGAGAGGACCGAGCAAAGGGCAAGGTGTTAGCAGGGGGCGTATGATGCAATTTCTACACTGGTTCCATTCCGACGCCTGTCTCGACCTCACCCAGGGGCTCATCCGCCGTGTGGGCCTGACGAGCACGCTTAAGGACGGACTGACTTTTCGATTTTCCATGACACACATAGTCTTTTTAGCGTGTGAGAAGGAGGCGTTACATACCGTGGTGAGGGGCGGGGGTCGGGGCCGGTCCCGGCGCGGCCGTGGAGGCGGCGGAACAAGAACGTAGCGGGGGTGGGGGCGACGCGGCCTGGACTACTGTGGTGGTTGTTGTGAGGGTAGTGGTAGCCGAGGAGGGGCGGCAGGAAGAAGAGGCCCCCGCGCCGAACCCGCCGCTGCGAGCTTGAGGACGGGCAGAGACGCCGTCGTAGGCGCTACCGCCGTAGTAGCCGCCTGCGACACCACGTGCGGGGGAGGGAGACGATCGTCCCATCGAAACGAAACGCGGAACATATTTTATTGGCGTGTAGTCTAGCCTATACAACAGCAACATACGACAGCACTGACGCACGTCGTTGAGTTGGGCAGCCCTGGCGCCCGTCATAATTTCTTATGTGGGCCGTCAAACTGCTACTCTTTCGGTTCTGGTATGGACTCGGATTTCAAGTTCTCAAGCTGCCGAGTGCTTCGACAACTATTAGCCCTCAAGGTCGTAACCTCCAACAACCCTGACAACTCAGAACGTGTGCAATGTGTGGTACGGGACGGTAAACCACCGCGGGACGGTCAAACCATGACGACTCACGAATGCTTCCGTCGGAGTTCATGTTCAAGTAGGCCGCCGGTGCTGCTGCCTTGTTCTGCGAGCACCCTCTTCCGGTTGAGGCGGTTCCGCCGCCACCGTAAAAGTCGACGGCCGCCGACCGTTTCTGGGAACAGGCACCCTTGTTGGAGTACTCCATCCCGACATACGCGACGCTGTCCGAATCCCAGGGGACAGCCGCGGTGGCGGTGCCACCCGAAGCATGACGGCCGGAATGATTGTGGATCAACTCCTCGTGCGATGGTGGCATCCTACCGCCGCCTCCGATTGAGGAAGGGGTAGGGGCGTACATGCCCGCCTGTCGACGGGGGGGCGGAGGGGTCGCTTTCGATCTCTTGATATTTTTTTTCACATGGGCTAATTTGAAGCACAGGGCTTTGGGAACAAGCCATGTAGCATGCCATGTCGTCCAAAACCGGAATGATAATACTCAAAGGTGGCGAAAACGCACGACATTATTGGTGAAACTGTTGTTACTGGGTTGTTTAAGCTTCGGGGCGCAAATGCGGAAAAGCCAAACCTGTCGCTGCCATTGCCATACAGCAGTAGACCATAATCGAGAGAAGAGGACGCCATTATACGTTCTTCGGTTCAGTGTGTTCATCAAAAGGAGAATTGGTTGACGGGGTAAAAACAAGGAAGGGTAATGCCGCTGCTGTGGCCATAAACAGGAACCACCCTTCGCCTGGCTGGGTGACACCCCGACCGTCGACGAACAGGCCAGACCTTACCAGACTAGCGTAGCACGGGCGGGCTTGCACATCAGACGAACAAGAAACGCAGTTACCTCGGCGGCGGACCTTACAGTAAACCTTACCCATGGTATGTACCATACAGTGGTGGTCCCGATATACCGTGGTCCAGAGTAGTGCGGGTCCCGATACACCGCGGTAAGATTGGCTTGATTGTCACGGGATTTGGCTACTTTCCCAATACTCCCCATTGTTAGTGTGGTGTCCCGATATACATGCCGAAATGGGTTTTCCCTGTCATCACTACACTGTATGAAGTATTGTACACGTCTCGCACCACGAAAAATGGGCTGTCTCCATAATAAATAGGACGAAAACACCCACCCACCCACGGTCGATGGTAATAGTAAAAACACATACAGCAGTTCTTGGTTTCACCCGAACTGAGACTGACGTCTTTTGATTGGTCAGCCGGTTAGCGCGGCCAATGCTAATAAAAAAAACACACACACATACGCATACACCGCGCGGTATATTATCGGGACCACAACTGACTACGGAATAAAACAACCCGTCTTTCGACGACGGCACGACACACAGCATTCCGTTTCTTTTCTTCATACGGCTGTGGGGGGGGTACTGCAGCGCTGCACTGCTGTACCCGAAATTTCGTTGTGATGTGCGTGGTTGGTACTATGCATACAACAAGAAGAACACTTTTTTTGGTACATCGGTAAGTTTACGCCGGAACGGGCCACTCATTTTTTTATCGATACTTGAAGTATGAGTGTTTCCATGTTTGTTTCGTGTGCCTCTCTGCGACAATGAAATGCCCAACACACCTTGACACACGTGCGTTTGTTCGCCTAACAGATTGCTGGAAGCGTCTCTCCACGGCCGTAGCGTTTGCATCAATGCCGGGCCTTATACATGCACTTAGCAAACCCTGGTGACGTGCCTACAGCACTAGCAGCCGTTCGTTGTTTACCACCCACCCCTATGATACGCCGTACTCTGTACTCCTGGGGGACAACATGCATGCTCGTCAGCACGACGATTGATTGATTTCGTCCTCAAACAATGTATAGTGATGCCGCACACAACTACACAACATGGCGTGAGGAAAACCTCCAGGTAGCCAATAAAGGATACATTACAGCGTCACATGCCATTTCCCCTTCAATAAGTTTCGTCTTTGGGCTGGAACAGCAGTAGGGCCAGCGGTGCACCCTCTCTTGCAAGTAAAGAGCTGTCTGAATCCTTCGGTCGCAACCCGTGCTGTTGCTGCTGTGCAGCAGCAGCGTAGTGGCACGCTCTACAGATGTACTGCTGCTGTAGCCTTTGTACCAGTATTATTGTATAGGTGTAGCATTTGCTTGTCGGGCAGCAACGTACACATGTATACATAGCTCAGAGGATGGCGAGCCAGCTTTATTGCGGCCTCCAGCTGCTACGCGTGAGATCAGCTCAACGTCCCAAGGGCAGACAACGGATGGATGGACCAAGTAAATAAATAGATGGATCTTTTGTTCCTTTTCCATCTCCATCTCTCAACAGGGGGAGAGGAGCACAGGAGAGAGCAGCCGAGAGACAAAAACACGCGCGCACGCACGGCAGACCGCTGCAGGATCCGCATAGCAGCAGCAGCAGCGTATGATGCATACTACCCCCCACAGCAACTAGCTCTTATGTCATCACTCGTTACGACTGAGTGCTGCTCTCTCGCCAACACGTGGTGGTGCATGCGAGAAACAAAAGTTGCATCCGGTCGTAATCATGCGACCGAAAGAATCAGATCCTTGGTTTCTTTTTCCTGTGAGCGGGCGGTCTTTTTGATCGAGAGCCAGACAAGGGAGAGGGGGTGCCTGCTTCGACGAACCCCTCTGCTGTAGGCACCAAGGTGCGCCAGCACACCATTGCTGGTGTCCCGAAGGCTACGCATGAGGTGGTAATCTCTCCTATGGCGGCGCACACAACATGGGAGCCCCCGTTTTGAGGATAACTTGTGACCGTTTCGGAGGAGGGGAGCGGCGGGAAAAAAGGGAGGGACATCACACCGAGAGCGAGAGCATATTTTTTCAAGGGTAAGCATGCAGCATGAATCCATATACCGGACGCGCTCCCCTAACCAAACACGTTCTGCTTTCGCGCAATCTTGACGCAACACGGCGGAAGATCCTGGTACACCAAGCTGCTGCCACGCACGGCAGTCGCGATGGCCGGATCCTGTGTGGTTGTTGTGCCCTTGAACCCTGAACGTTCCAAGAGGGGGCGCACAAACGCCCCATCATCAACAATCTACACCGCATATTTTTGGCTTGCTCTCTTTCGCTCCCTCCACACGGCAGCGAGATATCTTTCTAAGCGCGCCCCTAAAATATTTGCAGAACCAAACAAACCTTGTGGTTGGCACCCGGGAAAATCACAGATGCACGTCTCTTGATACGAAGGTGATGTTCTGCCCAAGATCCCCTGTGTACCGCGGCCTTGGGACTGTGTGTAGCACGAAAGAGTTATTGTGACTGCTGTGCGGATGTGTACGATGGAGGGTGTCTTTTTTTTTTTAAATATTGTTTGGAACAAAAAAAAACAAAAAAAAATGCCTACCGATGGGCTGAGCTTGTTGACCAATCAGAGGCGGCAGTGTGTGAAAACTTTCCGCCGCGTTTTGAGCTCGCGCATTCGAAGCTGGGAGTTCGGCGTTCGACCAAAAATCCTCCCCCCTCCCTACAGTACGGCTGATTGACCTCGCCAATGCAGGGCTGCTACGGGGCGTGTGCAGTCCCTTGGGCAATGCGTGTAGCTATCCGACACACCCGCTGGGTCAGCAGCGATCCACGTACGCGCGTGCACAATGCGCAGCGTTCCACGTATTACTGTGCTGGCCGAAGAAGAAACCAAAAGTTGAAAAATCATCAACGCATGCTGCGGGTGGTACCTGAATGAGTGTCACACTCAAAGCGTCAACGGTAGACTTGTGAAAGAACATCTCGGCGTGTTGAAAACAGTATGTGTATCAGCCTTACAATCTTAGACCTAATCGTGCTACAAATAGATAGAGCTTTTCTTTCTTTTCTTTGATGATATGATGTACACAGCCAACAGTTGAAAGATCTACAGCAATTTTTCTGGCGGGCGGGTTGTATGTATATCTTGCAGGTTACACAACATCTCCCTAGTCTTCGTTCCATTCCGCGCTCATAAAAGCAGCAGACTGACTACAGCCAGCCGTGCCTGATTTATTTGTTTTGGAAGTGGCAAGCCGCTCACATGTGTTGATTTGATGATGATGCTTCCATTTCGTCCGGAGTAAAGCGATTGCCATAGCAGAGCAAACGCGAGTGGGAGAGAAAGGGAGGGAAATGGAAATAAATGGGATCTGGACTGAAACCGACCCGCTAGCCTGCACACCGTGGCTGGACTAGTGCTTTATGTATGTACGTACAACAAAGCTCCACACTGAGATCTCGTCATCATACCGAACACAATATCTTGATGTATGTTAAGTCTAGACTAGACGTGTTGCACTACAGCAGACTACAAGTATACTTGGAGCAAGCCCTTCCGGTTGTTGGCGAGGGCCATCTGCCCCCTCTATGCTCACGATGTGTGGCAAAGCGTATCAGCACATTTTTGATGCTGAAAACATGTACACGGGGGAAAGGCGTCCACCGATCAATATTTACGATAACGAGCAGACGGCGCACGGGGAGACATTGGGACTCGATAATGGCATAATTGACATGCTTACAAACCACAACTAACTCTTGGGTTCAAACGTACAAAAGCGCTGTAGACGAGATCGTCAGGAATTACCATGACATTCTTAACGCACAGATTTGTTTCGGTCCCGTTAACAGAGCAACGCATGGGCCGATTTTGGGGGAGTTGCCGACCACCTCTGAAATCGCGGCCTGTATTTTTCAAGAAGATACCTCTTGAGTTGTTCCGACAGGTGTACACTTTCCCGCGTAACAGTGACTCGGGGAGGCCTCGCTTCGTACCTATCTTTAGCGCAACCTACGAACCGTTAGGATATCCATTGTTGTTCTTTGATGGGTCTGCTGGATGGTCAAAGGGCACATGGATTCCAGGCGAAGGTGTTGTCGGTGCAACCGTCGGACCGACCGGTAAAAAGTACCATTAGCATATTACGTGAGACAGAGAATATTGTCCGAGCCTGTATTTCATCAGTTAAGTAGAATCACCCAAGAATATCTGTGCGACATGTACTCCCGCTACGAAGAACAATCGCTTCAGTACCTTTCTTCGGCGGCAGGACAAAAACGTGCCACGACCTACAAAGTTTTAACGGAAGCAAAGGAGAACATAAGGTTGGGAAGGTTGTACCCGCAGGCTTTCACGGTCATCCTGCCAAAATGAAAGCCAATACAATTGACGCGTTGGCTGTAGTCGCGAGGAAGGGACGACCTAGTGTCATGATCACGATGACGTCAATGGTAATTGGGAAGAACTTCAAGCGAATCTTCTCCCCGGTCAAACTGCTTTCGACCGCCCCGATTTGTGCGACAGAGTGTTTAAAATCAAGAAGGACGAA